TTAAAACATGAAAAAAAATTTTATTGTTTTAGACAAAGAGGCCACTTTTGGAAAATAATACTTTTTTTTTTTTTTAGTTGAATCAGGTGAAGACAGTTAAAATCACATAGGATCTGCATTTTTAAAAAAGGAAAGCACTAGGGTCGTTGGCACTGGAGTTAACTATTTACACTAAACAGAGGTTTGGCCTTTTACGTAACATCGATACAATGCATTTTCCAAAGTCTGAGAAATAACAAGGTTCTGTCTTGTATGCTTCACAGAGGAGGTTCAATTTGGGGAAAACTGTCATTAACGAGGGCCGTGGAAGTTCACCAGCTTCAGAGTCACATGCAATCTGATCCTGGACGGTCTTGCCGCTCACTGGGGAGCAGCTGGCTACAGAATTGAAAGCTAATGGGAGGGGTGGGGAGCCAGTTGTACAAGGCCTCTCTGCAGACCCAGGTCTTACAGGTTTTCACCTGGCTGGTACTGGGGCTCTGTTGCGGTAAAGTAGTCTTCCAGGAAGCCCTGCAAGTATTCAAATGTGGGGCGCTCTTCAGGGTCCTTTTTCCAGCAGTGGATCATGAGCTCGTGGAGCGAGATGGGGCAGTCCTGCGGACAGGGCATCCTGTAGCCACGCTCCACCTGCTCCAGCACCTCCCGGTTGTTCATGCCTGCAAAGACATGGGCGGTGAGTGGGCACCTCCTGGCGGCACATGGCCCTGACCAGCTCACACAGAGCTCCCCTCTCTTCTCTTCTGAGCCTGCAGATGGCTACAACATGTTGCAGGCCCTCACCTCACCCAGGACATGAACCTTTCCTTTAGTGGATACCATACCACTCAGAAATGAAAAGAAATGTGCAACTGATACAAACATGCAAAAATGCGATGACGCATCTCAACAGCATTGAAAGTGAAAAAAGCCAGACATAAAAGGCAATGCAGTGTATATGCTTTCATTTATGTGAAATTCTAGAAAAGGCAAGACTGCAGTGATAGAAAGCAGACCAGTGGTTGCCAAGGACCAAGGCAGGGAAGGGAATTGACTGCCTGCAAAGGGACAGGGGGAGAGAACTTCAAGGGGGGATGGAAATGTTCTCTATCGGGGGGGTCTGCAGGCTGTTTCTGAAAAGGGTCAGACAGTAAATATTTTAGGTTTTGTAGACTGCATGTGGTTTCTGCCACATATTTTTTCTTAATTTTTTTTTTTAGTAACCCTTTAAAAATGTACCAGAAAAAAAAAGTCTAGGAACTGGATTTGACCCACATGCTGTCATCTGCCACTCCCTGTTCTTGGTTGTGAATATGGCAGTGGGAAGTTTGTCAAAATTCATTGGTGAGTTTTTGAATTGAATCAACCTGGTGAATTTTACTGCATGTAAACTATACATCAATTGCTGATAAAAAACATGAAAGAAACACATCACAAAAAAAAAAAAAAAAAGGACTGAAAGCCTCACTGGCTGTCCTTTGCATATAGCATCTGTGAGCTCTGTTTGTCAATTTCATCAGTCAGTTTTCCTCATGTCTGGGCTCTTGGTACTCTATTGTTCAAGATCTGCTATCATGCCACCATGGCTAGGCATGGTCTGGCCCAGTGACCCTGCAGTGACCTGAGGGTTAGTGACTTTGACGGGGAGATAGGCTGTCTCTGGCGCCAGTGTTCACTGATGACATCTACCGGGCCATCTATCATCTGAGACCTTCCTGACCCTCTGGAGGAGTAGCCTCATTCTGAAACATCAGGCTGCAGTGTGAACGGAAGACAACTGGGGAGCCTGTTAACCCTTTAAAGAATGTAGCACCTTGCCTGGTGGCCTTGCCGATACAGGAAATACCACACTGACTGTGAGGCAAACTCTCTGACCCTTTTCCCAACCACTGCCAGGCATGAGTCTCTAGTTTTCCCTTCCTTTTGCACCACATCCTGTTCAGCTCTCTCCCCAAGTCCTTGTATGTTTTGGCTGCTCTCTGGCCCCAAGTCTAGAGTATGCAATCCTCTTCAACTACTTACCTGGTAATTTATAAAACCAGGAACCTGATTTCAGGCCATATAAAAACCTAGATTTCTTTGCCTCCTCTGTCAAGTGTATAACCAGCAGAGAATACAGGATGTGCATGTGCTGTTAACTGCTGTGGAATAGGCAATTCACTGTGACCCTAAGCACAGCAGAAGGAAACCCTGTCTGCTCCTGCAATGTCCCCATGATGAGCTGTCGGTTGAACTGTGTGACCCACAGGCTCTTCACTGGCTGATTTTCGGCAGTAGGTTGCCAGGCCTTTTTACCCAGCCTGGAAGCTCTGCTGAAAGCCGTTCAGTATCATAGCAACAGGCACAGCTCTACCACCAGGTGGGGGTAGCTGTAGATGAGGTGGACCAGTTGGAAATGAAACCCGGGAAGGAAAGCATTCTACCACTGAACCACTGCTGTTGTAGCTCCCTTTAAGTCTGCAGAAACTGCCACCCTGACAGACAGAACCTTGTGAGCTTGGCCAGAGGAGCACACCCCTGTTCCCTGGGGTAAAGGACACGTAGACTTGCAGATCTGTTTTGTTGTTACTTTTGGAGCTGAGTGTATCCTGGTTCTTTTGGCTATCAATCACGGCCCTGTCAGTCATATATTTGTCCAAATCCTTTTAGAATGCTTATTTTCTGCCACTATAATTTGAGAAAAAAAATCCATATATTATTTTTCTCTGTGTTGAAGTAGGGGTTCAATTTAATTATCTGAAAATAACCTCAGTCACCCCTTATTTTGGTGACTGGGGATGGGTTGATGCACAGGGATTGCCTGCATCTGCGCAAATGCCTTCTTCAGTTGGGTGTGAGAAGTGAGAAACGTCACTGCTAACTGGCTTATACCCAACTCATTTGGCAAACTCTGAAGCTGGGCAGGGAGCTGGAAGCCAGGGAAGTACTGGAGCCACTGGGGAATGGGAGGCCGACATTCCTGCCATGCTCCGAACAAGCAGGGTGAGCAACAGTCCTCCTTTCCCTCTCCGCAATCCCCAAACCCAACACGCTCTGGAAACCAGCAATTTCTGCAGCTCACTCAGTAGCAAAACTGACGGGAACTGACCTTATTTGGTCACAGATCATGACCTGCTGAACTGATGTGAGGCTATTTACTGTTTTTATCTATTCATATGTATTGCCACAGAAGTACTGATGTGTTTGAACACAGATGGTTGTTCAGACTCTCCTGACATGTTACATAGCATATATAATATATGCTCTATACTGACTTAAAAAAAAAATCTGATTCTGAAGTGCACTTGGTCCCATGGGTCTTGGCTGAGAAGTGCTAGCATGAGTGACGTAGCTCCCATGTGCCAATATACTCAGAAAGTTAGGAAGAGAGAGGAATAATTTATCAGGATTGGGCTTCTCCAAAGTGTTTGCATTGCCACATATTTTAGTAAGGTTCTTGTTTCATAATGTTTCAGAAACTGCATTGCTTGAGCCTGCTGAAGTGTCTGTGCCTTGTCACTGCCCCTACCAGGAGGTCTGTAGGAACCAAGGAAAGACAAACGGAAGGCCTGAACCTCAGGAGGCAGGTAGGACAGGCTCTTCTGGAGGCAGTTGCAACCTCCTAGAAACACGTCCTGAGGTTTTATTTTGGCACTGAGGCTCTCTGCCCAAGACGGTGCTACCCAGTTTAATTAATCATTCTCTTTCCTACCGCTCTACGGAGTGTTATGTCAGTAAACGTTTCATTTCATTAAAAACCAAACTACTCAAATGGAAAGAGTTCTTTTCTTTTCTTTTAAAGATTCTTAATTCATTCTTTACCAATGGAAAGTTTAATTAGCCACTTGGGTCAAGCCTATTTTTCAATGTTCTTCCCAAGCTTGAGACACAGCAGATACAGCAACTCGAACCACAACACACAGCATCTCCTGAGCAGCTGCTTCCTGGGCAGTGGTGGCCAGAGGATGGAGCTCGGCCCACGCCAGGCACTGACAGGCCTGTGCTGTCAGCTGCCATGCACACTCCTGCTCTCTCTCTACCTCTTCTCTGTCCCTCTCTTCCTTGCTCCTCATGCCTTCTTTTCCCCAGGCCTCTCAAAGTATAAGGAGCATTTAGAACAAATTCCATGCACTGGGCCAAGCAGAAACATTACCAGTGCCAGCTTTGCCAGAAAAGTGGAAGTAAGTTATGGATTGACTTGCGTCCCCCCAAAATACATGATGAAGTCTCAACCCTGGCTTTTGTGAATGCGACTGTGTGTGGAAATAGGGTCTCTGAAGATGTTATCAGTTCACATGAGGTCATACTGGAGTAGTGATGTCCTTATTAAAGACAAGAAGAGACAGAGAGTCAGAGGGAGGATGGTCACGTGAACACGGAGGCAGAGACAGAGTTGTGTTGTAGCTAAGCGAAGGACTGCCTGGGGTCAGAAGCTAGGAGGAACAAGAAAGGACCTTCCCCTAGAGCCTTTGCAGAGAGTCTGGCTCTGCTGACACCCTGAATTAGAACTTCTAGACTACAGAAGTGTGGCATAATAAATTTCTGTTCTTATAAGCCACCCAGTTTCTGGTCTTTTCTTATGGCAGCCCTAGGAAACTATGCAACGATATATTTGACTGACAGTGACAATGTGAAGTTTATTGGGACAAGCCATCCATAAGCCAGGGGGCACGGGCTGCACAGGGGACTTGCTACTGTCACAACTTCCCTCTTCAACAATAACTGCAGACTCAAGATATGCTCACTCAGCAAGGCTGAGGCTAGTTTTAAAACAAACGAGTTAAATTAAATGAAGTTAACACATTAAAAGAAGTAGTCTCAGCTACAAGAACTTTGAAAATCATACTTACTTCAAGGTTTTTTTTTTTTTTTTAAGCAAAATGAATTCTCTGTAAACTACTATAAAGGGAGGTTTGGTAGCATAGTGCCTAAGACATGTGACTGCTAACCAGAAGGCTGGCGGTTCAAACTCACCAGCCACTCCTTAGAAGGAAGGTTGGGCAATCTACTTCCGTAATGGTACCACCTCGGAAACCCAAGGAAACTCGCTATGAGTCTGGTCTGACTTGACGGCACATAACAACAACTACTATAAAGATGGGCCCATTTCATTTTTTTTTTCTTTTCAGTTTCATATTTTTGTTATAAAGAAAACTATTATTTTCTATCCTTGAGCCACTCTTTTCCCAGACATTGGCTTTGTCTAAGCACAGGAAAAATATGTGAGCTTGAATGCCAGGGAGGTCAGGAGACAATACGGAGGGACCCAGGGTATGAGGACATAGTCACTGTACTCAGTCGAGGAAGGGACAAGCAGGGGGAGAGTGCCTGGCAACAGTTTTCTTTTCCTTTCTGTTGTAGTGGGGAGAAAGTGAGAGGAGAAACTGGAGGAGAGACAGACACTCTCAGAAAGGATGCATGGGCACCTTTTTGGGAAGGAGGTCACAGACGGTTTGGGCCTCCAGATTTCCTGGTGGGCGTTGCAATAGAGACTATTTTCCACAGGAGGGCTGGTCTCTGCCAGCCAGTGGTGTCTGACTGTGGAAATGCCACACTCACAGTGTGCCCAGGCTCCTTCCCTGGTGGCCTCCCTGTCAGAGGAGCCTCAAGGCTGGGTAGCCGGCAACCCCCAAACCTGCCCATTTCAGTGTGGTCCTCTCCTCCTGTGCCCTCCCAGCCTGTGGGAGCAACCTACTCTCTC